TACAAAATTTAACGTTAAGTTTTTAAAAAAATTAAAAGTTTAGCTACTAAACCGGACCAAAACTGATAGTTTAGATACTAAGTGTATTAAGTTTTTAACGGCGGGGTTCTAAAATAATATGAAAATTGAATGTTATGTATGGTTTTGAAAAAATTGAAAGTTGAGATACTAAAATAGACCAAAATTGATAGTTTATGTACTAAATGTGTGATTTACCCAAATATAAAACAAACGAGTTTATGCCAAGAAGATGAAGTTCGTTTTTTTTCCCCTTTCTATTATAAGTAACATTTGAGAAGCAAATCTGGTGGCAACACATGTTCATTGCAACCTTAAATTCATGACAACACATCTCCTTATGCTTTTTCTTTTTCTTACATTGAAAGGGGAAAAGGAACAAGAAACATTACTTGATTGTTTTTGTCAAATTGTTTTCGACCAAAATAAGGTAGTATGGTTACAAAGTATTCAATTTGAATAAGACATTAACCAGGTATTTTGATTTTTTTTTTAATCTGGGAAGAATATAATATGATATATGTTTAAAGACACTAAATCATTTGACGATGTACACTTATATCCTAGAGTACACAATACATGAATCCAATACCTCAAAGAATAACAATCGATTTATTGACCAATAAGATCACTTACTTAGTGAAAGAATGCCTACTTTAGTATAATATTGTTGGATTGAAATCCAAAATTATGCACAGGTATATATAATGTTATCATAAAATATGACATAAAATTAGGTGACAAATTATATTATACATGTTATAAGATATCAGAAGTATCATAGAAATAAAAAGAGTAGATAACATTAAAATTATATTTATAATTTGATGAGGGCGGAGTTATAAATACTTACACAACTGATTCTTAAATAAGTTATATAAAGAGATAGTAGCCACCAAGAAATATGTCAACTTGAACGTTCTTTTATCTCGTCAGAGAGATTATACTTCAAGGTAATCTTCAATATCTAAACCTTATGAATTCAGGAAACGCTCACGTGCGACGCCTTAGTATACAGCTAAAATAAGGCGGTGCCGATTTTGTTATTATTTTAAATAACAAAACCGGTAAAAAAATGGCCGAAAACATCATTATTTTGACCGGTTATAATTACCTATATAGGTAAACACGGTAGAAAAAGAAAATGATGTTTTAGGTAGCGCTTTACCGAAAACATATTTTTTGACCAGATTTTTACCGTGTTTACCTATATAGGTAATTATAACCGGTCAAAATAATGATGTTTTCGGTCATTTTTTACCTGTTTTATCATTTAAAATAATAACAAAACTGATATCACCTTATTTTAGCCGTATACTAAGGCGCCGCACCGCAAAACTGCCATGAATTCATGTATGCTTTCGAAAATCTAATATTTTTATTCTTGATGATTTGACATGATTTGAACTTGAATTTTGATTGATATTTATTATGTTTTTGTTCTAACAAACATAACTTAAGGGTTTAATCTTTTGAAATGTTCATAGAAAGGTCTAATGTTTTTAAATCTACTCAAATAAGGATATAATCTTTCAAACATGACAAATAAGGGCTTGTATTTATGGATGACGAAGGGTGGTCTTACCAAAAACCAATTTGATTAATGGGTTCATTTAGTTTTCGAAATTATATGGTCTTATTTATTCAGCCCAATGTCAAGAGGAAATTACATATTTAATCTCTTGGCAAATTTGGTAGAATAATCCGAGCTTCGAAGTTATTTTGGGAGACGCTGCGGGTGAAAATTATTTAGAGATTTATGATATATTGTATATTCGATTAGGAACTCATCGTGTATGAATAATGAATTTTATAAAATATAATTTTTACTGAAATCTATTGGGTAGACATGACGGGTTAATTTTATGAAACTTGTTCATGAAATTCGTCATACCCACATAATTTATTTTTAATCTACCGTAAAAAATACCATAAATTCCTAAATAATTTCTCATCGCACACTTTTTTAATACTTTTTTCTATTTATAATATTTCCCTAAAATACCGTAATTTCTTTGATAATTTTTTTTTGCAAGAACCAAGTGATCTCGATGTTAAATGAATTGTTGTTATTTCCTAAGATATCGAGTTCGAGCACAAACAAATCAAAAGTGTAAATATTTAATATCAAATGATTAAAATTTATTTTTAAATAAATATTATCTTGTACTAACCTTAAATTAAAAATTAATAATCATTGTTCCTAAAACATTGACTAACGCACACATTTTGAGACAGAAAACGCAAATTACGGTTCTTAAAGTACCCAAAACAAAAACAAAAAATCAATTGCTTTCCCCACTAATAATGTGTTCTTTAAAGAACCCAAATAATGAACTAATAAATGGTATCAGTGTATAAAAGGAGTATTATTTTCTTTTGAGTTATTGAATTTGAACAGTTACGTTTGTAAGGTGTGTGAATCGTAAATGATTAAAAAAATATGAACATATACATATTCCATCAATTTAGCGAATTAAAACTATTTGATTAAACTAAAATTAGGATAAAACTAATAGAGTATATAAGTTATAGAAATCAAATATGTAATTATACTAAACTTTATAATTGTCACATCACATTCTTCATTAAATATTAAAGATGGGCAAATTCATTAATATTATGTAAATAATTAAATGGTTTGATTGATAAAAATAAAATATCGGTGAACTGATTATAATCATCTCATAATTAAATAATAACGAGTGTAGTTTACCCTGTATATATTATAAACTCTGAAAGAAAAATAGTAAATTGGGAAGACATGTTTCAAGGAAAAGGGCTTCAATTTTGCCAAATTTTCTATTTACCAATTCACTATGGGTAACTTTTGGTTAACAATTTGGACTATAAAAAACAGCTATAAAGATTGAATGAATCTTTTTGAGGGAAAGCGAGTCTTTAGAATCTACAAATTTTTAAGGAAAAAAGAAATTAGAAATCTATGTAATTTTTGAAAAAAAATTAATGTGGATCTCGTATAATTTTTGTTTATTAATGTTGCCCTCCAACTTAGAAAACAAATCTAATGTGACCCTTTAATCAATATTTTTTGTAGTTGACAGTTATAGTACTGGCGTGCCAGTTCACAGTGCTGATGTGATATTTTATGGTGCTAACGTGATAGTTCATCTGCCATATTAGAGGTACCAATTTAATATATATACCATGTCATCAACTACGTTAATCTATCATCCTGGACTGCTATGTCATCGTCATTAACAGTCACAAAAAGGAAATCCAAAAGGAAATCGAATTTTTGGTGTAATTGCCTGGGAATTGAGACAGTTAAATTTCACAAAATTAGTTCTTGAGGTATTATAAGACGATATCCCAATATAGTTCGTCAACATTGTGAGCTGCCACATTAGCATCGTAACAATCAACAACGAAAAAAATTGGATAAAGTACATGAACTTAAAATATGCATTTTTCCCATTTTAACACTCCTCTACGATAGTTGTACAATATATATATATATATATATATATATATATATATATATTATGCTTTAGTATGGACAAATTTACACATTTTGTAAATAATGTTGTTCGATTTCTAAACACCTAAAAAGAACAACAATAAATTAACCGAACCAAACTCAAACGACATTAAACATCCAAATCTAAATCAACCGTAAATAATGATATATCTAGAAATATTTTTGAAAGTATGTAATGTATATTAGGATAAAGTACATGAATGGTCCCTTGACTATAGGGTATTATTTTATTAAGTCTATCGACTATTAAAAGTTACAAAATGGTCATTTGACTATAGAATGTTCCTTTGATGAGTCTCTCATCTATTAAAAGTTACAAAATGGTGATCCGACTATTTATTATGTTTCAAAACTCATCATTTCCTTTAAAAAATGGATTATATTTTGAGTTGAACGTTAACTTGTGACTATGATACACTATAGCAAAACATGTTTTTAACGGTGTTTTGTCAATCATATAGCGACGTTTTTTAGCGCCGTTAAAAATCTTTGTGGCGCAAAAACAAACGCCGCAAAAGGTAGCGGTATTTTTCGTTCACAAACGCAGTTAAAGGTTATGATATTTAGCGCTTTTTTCAAATGCCACTATTTATCTTTTCTTTTGTGACGTTTTGTCTCAAAAATGTCTCTAAATGTTATGTCATATAGTGGCATTTGTTCCCAAAAACACCAATATTGACTACGTATATAGTGGTATTTTTTGTATAAATGCCGTAAAAGATCTATACTTTATTGTCCTTTTTTAAAAATGTCGATATTGACTATGTATTTAGTGGCGTTTTTTATATAAACACCACGAATTAAAACTAATTTTTCAAATGTTGTTTTCTACTATTTTGTTATCCAAATTTAACCTATAACGTTATCCAATAAACTTGACATCCATAACAACAAACTTGAAATCCATAATAATAAATCAAAGTTTACGTTAACGTAAAATATAATGTAGTTCAACATTTTTAACTAGAATAAACAATAATAACACCTAAGATGGTGGACTCTGAGGTTGATTTTGTCGTATCATCTGCATCATAGCATAATAACTACCATATAATCATAAAATCTCAAATGACTATCATATCCTACTCATCATGTTGACGTTCAACTTAAACAATTGTCAAATTTTTAACGAAAAAAGATAAGTTTGAAACATAATGAATAGTCGGATAATCACTTTGTAACTTTTAATAGTTAAAGAACTTGAAAAAACATTCTATAATCAGAGGAGTATTTTATAACTTTTAATAGTCAAACGACTTAGTAAAATAATGCCCTATAGTCAGTGACCATTTGTATACTTTACCCTATATATTAATAACAAAAATTTTGTATGGAATGAACACAAATAAAATTTCAATTCAAACACTATAAGTCAGACGTAGATCCACCACTTATCGTAAATCGTTTGAAATGATAATATATATTATATCCATTATTAAGCTTAAACAACTGCAACAATGGGCACTAAACAAAAGCATCAAACCAAACAAAAAGAAGCATTGATATTTCAACTGTACAACACCAAAATAAGTGCTTCCACCCTCACCACCTTTCACCATTAACAAAACCTCAAATATCTCACCACACTTCGTGCACTCAGCACTCAATCATGATCCAACACACACACATACGTACATACATATACGTAAATACATAATACAGTGTATATATGTTGATTAGGTGCAACTCTTGATTAATTGCATGCCCTCTGATATAGGGCACCCTACAGTTGAAAAGATGAAGGTACGCTCTCTTAGAAGAAGCAATTAAGGTACACGTGTATATAAAATTAAGGGCCTCAAAAGAAGGAACGTTTTGTGGGTGGTCGCCCTACAGCTCTCATCAAATTGGCAATTTCAAGAACCTTTGCGACCTTTGTTCCTCTCTTTGCCTCGGCTGATGCCCTCCTCTCTTCTGCTTTCCTGTGTGATTTTGCGACCTCGTTTTGCATCTTTTCTAGGGCTTTTGCTCTTTTCTCCTCTAGCTTCCTCTACATACACATATGTATATACACACATACACCATGTTAATGTTTTATGTAAGTCTTATTCGACTCGATTTGAATTATGATAAAAATAATAACCCATAATTCAGTTACGCTGTATATATATTTAACTTAAAGTTTTTCAAACTTAATTAGGAATGACCAAATCATTCGAATATGAAGAGTTCTAACCTAACTTGATTATATAAGGTTGATTTTCTTTTAAATTCATGGTAAGGACGAGTTCTGTAAGCAAGGGAGTAGGGATTAGATAAAATCGAGTTTAAAATAAAAAAATATTTGATTCGATCCGACTCAAAACTATAACTCTAATTTTCTCTATATATTTAAGGACAATTATTCATGTTAAGTCCAGGTGGAAAAGAATTTTCATCTACAATTTAAGACGATTTCAGAAAAAATAAAACGCTCTCTAAAATCAGGACGAATCTGAGTTAAGGATAAATTATACATTTTGTAGGTCGAAAATGAGACGGCTGAAAAATCCGACATGTACCATATCCGTCCCTACCCATGGCACTACTGGGCACTAACTATATAGGTCATAATTTAAGGTGTATATAAATCATCATACTCCACTAATAACATAAAGAAAACAAAGCACATGAACTTGATGAAGAATTTGACTCAAAATCAAGAACAAATGATAATCATTACATGAAGATAATTTAGTTATTAAACTGCCATGAAAGTGTCCTAGACACTTGAATCACCAATTAAATAATCCATGATTTAGCTAATTTACGGTTATGGACCACATCAAGTCATTAGCCCATAATTAAACCATTTGAGCAAAGCACAAAAACGAAAACGAAAAAGAAAAAAGATTTTCTCACCATCCAAACATACCTCAAGTTTCTTCATCCAAGAAGTAGCCTTTTGAACTTGTTCACTTTCCCACCCATTGATCACAGCATCTTCCCTCTTAAACCTGTTATTGATCTTCGCAACCTTAGCGTGTTGCCAAGCAGATATTTTCGACTCCACCTCCTCTTTCTTCACCCTCAGCACCGAAACCTCGCCGTGGCTGCTGCCGCCGCCACTCCCCACCGTCTCCGGATGCGAAGGCTCTCCTGACCCGACCCATCTTTGCTGATCCAAACCCTGATCGGAGTAAGTATTATCCGGCACTATAGCAAATGGGTTGGTTTCCTCTTGCGGTTCATGGTCCTCTCCGATCCTCGTCAAGTGATTATTATGATTGTTCAAAGTATGTCTAGAATCCGAATCATTGTTCTCAATGGAAGAGCCAGCAAGGACCAGAGCGTTAAACTCTCGACTCATGGTGGTGAAGTTCTCGCTCGAGGCGACTTCGCTCGAAGAGGAGGCGCGGCTGGCGGTGTCCCAACGGCGGCGGTTTACGGCCGGGGGATGAGGCGGGGTCAAAGCATGGATGTCCCTGATGTGCTCATCGTCATGATCGTCAAGGTTTCGGTCGTTTTCGCCGTTGTTGATGACACTTTGAAGGGTTAACATAGTAGGGTTGGTTTTAGATAGGGAGGAGGAGAATTGTGAGAGATTTTGACATGATCTCTTGTAGCTATTAGAGCTTTGTTTGAGGCTTTTGACTGGTGTTTTGAAATAAACACGAGGCACTAAAACATATGGGGAATAGAACTCCAAGTGAATCATATTGAAAAAGTTTTCAGAGATCAATTATAAAATTGTAAATACAATAATTTTTTGGGTAAATTACACAAATGGTCCCCAACTATAGGATACTACTTTATTGAGTTCATTGACTATGAAAAGTTACAAATTGACCCCTATATGGAGTTGATTTGTTGAGTCCTCGACTATTAAAGGTTATAAATGGTCATTCAATTATTCATTATGTTTCAAACTTGTCCTTTTCCTTTAAAAAAATCAACGACCGTCTGAGCTGGAAGTTAACATATTGATTGAGATATGGTAGTCATTTAAGATTATGAGATCACATATTATCATACTGCCACCAAAATTTTAATAGAAAAGGATGAGTTTGGAACATAATGAATAGTCAGGTGACCATTTAGTAACTTTAATAGTTTAGGGACTCAACAAAGAAACTCTCTATAGTTGATGGTTCATTATGTTTCAAACTTATCATTTTCCTTTAAAAAAATCAACGACCGTCTGAGCTGGAAGTTAACATATTGATTGAGATATGGTAGTCATTTAAGATTATGAGATCACATATTATCATATCTCAAATCATACTGCCACCAAAATTTTAATAGAAAAGGATGAGTTTGGAATATAATGAATAGTCAGGTGACCATTTAGTAACTTTTAATAGTTTAGGGACTCAACAAAGAAACTCTCTATAGTTGATGGATCATTTTATAACTTTTAATAGTCAAGAGACTCAATAAAGCATTATATTATAGTAGAGGGACCATTTGTATATTTTATCCTAATTTTTTAAATAATTTGGAATTATTAAAATGTGACGTTAGTTTATAATATTTATTAATTATCAACACATACCATATTTATATAGACACAACTTTAAATTAATGCTTTGAACCCACTATTATTATTGACAATAAAAGGCTTTGATGTTGTAAGTTTAGTGTAAATTAAATTAAATAATTATTAGGTGATTATAGTAGTGATTTTAATATATTTAAAATTTGATTCAAGATTATTATGATGAATTGTCTCAATTTGAGAATTAGTAATTAATTAATATTTTCAATAATTAATTCTGATGTATTATAATTTTAGTGTAGATTTAATTTAATATCATACACATTCCAATTTATCATTTTGATTTCAATTAATTATTCAATTTTTTTAATAATTGATCTTAATGTATTTTAATCTTGATTATGATTGTAAATTGTAAAGGTTTACATTAGTTTATATGGTAACATAATAAAATATTTTGTAGTTTGAAAAACTATCAATTTAGTAAAAAATCATAATATAAATACTTATTCTGAAGATAAATTGCTCTAAACTTTTAATATGTTTATATTTTAGTCAGTAAGTTTTTAAAACTTACAATTGACACTAAATTTTTAATTATGATTCTTGTCATCGATCATCATACAAAAAACTAACATAACATTTTTTTCTCTAAATTTGGGATGAATGCAATGTAGTATTTATTCGAAAATTATTTTAACCAATTGACAACGAATGCTCATACACCTTTCAGTGTTCGAACCCGAAATCTTTAAGAATATTAATAAGTCCCTTAATTACATAGGTTACTTAGTTCGTGTGACACGACACCTTCAAAAAACCTAACATGAAACATCAATTATTTCGTTTAATATTAACTACAGATGATTAATTGATATCATTTAAATAATTAAATAATATGATTAATAAAATTAAAAAAGTCGATAATAAAATTATAATTATCTAATAATTAAGTGGTTATGATTGTATTTTATCATATTCTTTAACCATGCACAACCTGATTTATGTACACTTCAACTTTAAAATTAATATTATTTATAAAAATATATTATTAAATTATTATTGTGATGGTAGACTGGTAGGAGTCAAGCAATATATATTTAATAAAAAATAAAAACAAAAATAATAACTATATAATGAAAAGAAGGATAAATTACACATATAGTATCTAAACTTTTGTTTTTTAAAAAATATACTTAAAATTTAGTTTTTATTTCATTTTAGTACATGTTGTTAAAAACTTTAGTTTTTATTTCATTTTAGTACTCAATTCAAAATTTAACATTAAATTTTGAAAAAAATTAAAAGTTTAAGTACTAAAACAAATCAAAACTGATCTTTTAGGTACTACACATATTAAGTTTTTAACAGTATGATACAAAATAAAATGAAAACTAAACTTAGGTACTAAAATGAATCAACAATAATAATTTAAGTACTAATTACGAAATTTACTCTAAAAAGAAATGTAGGAACTTTTACTATCAGTGTCGGCAAAAGGGTTTTGAAGAGGAGCCCCACCAACAGGCAACAGTAGGTAAAGGCGTGTAGACCATTGATAATAATACACGTGCGTCACACATAATAATCATCATACAGTTATGATTTCCACGTGTCATTTATCCATAGGTTTAAGGTCCCATCGGGTAAGCTATGTTATTTCCCGACATCCAATCACTGACGTAATATTATAAAATGAGAGCCACGTATACGGTTCAGCCTATTTTCTATATAAAAATATATTTTTTAGGTTTTCAAGATGCCCACGTCTCACGTGAAAAAACTAATAAAACTTTAATTTTTTTATTATCAAAATAAAAAATATCATATCTTGTTTTTTATTATTTTTTTAAAATATAAATTTTGAAAACGTAATTCAATTTATTAAATTATAAAAATATTTTTATAATAATCGATAATCAATATATTAATAAATTGGTTTAGATTAAATATTATTATATAATCTATTATAGGACGAATTTTTTAATAATTCGATTTATTTTTGTCTATAATGATAATATTTAAATTATGATTTTATTTAAGTGATTCAACGTCTGTTAAATCAATTAATAGATAATAATGTTTTTTAAAATATTAATAATAAATAAATGAAATGGTTACTTTTAGGGTAAATTACAAGTTTAGTGTTTAATCTATCAATTTAGTCCATTTTAGTACCTAAACTTTCAATTTTTCAAAATCATATATAATGTTTAGTTTTTGTTTCATTTTAATATCCATTACAAATTTAACATTAAATTTTGAAAAAAAAAGTTTAGGTACTAAACGAACCAAAAATAATAGCTTAGATACTAACGAGTTATATTTTTAATGGCAGGTACTGAAATGAAAAAAAAAGTTAGGTATAAGTTTGAAAAAACCGAAAGTTTAGATACTTAAACAGATTAAAACTTATAGTTTAAGTACTAAACCTGTAGTTTATCCTTTCTTTTATTATAATTATGATAAATAAATCATTCAAATTTAATATAATATTTTTTTTCAAACCTAACCCAATTATAGTGACAGATAAATGCTTAAGATAATTAACTTTTTTTTCTTTTTCTTTTTGAATTTGGTGGGTCAAATTTGTCATTTGATGTAATGGAAGTGTTACATTTTTGTATGATAGTGGAATGTGACAAGTACTCTCCACTATTTTGAGAGCCAAAAGTGTTTAATTTTCAAGGGAAAACTCTTGATTTAATTTACTATATCATATTTATAAATATTTGATTTGAAATTATATAATTTAATATTAATTTGTATTATCATCTTTAATGTAACTAATAATATTTAATTATTAATTGATTAATTTAAATGGGATGCCATAAATATTCATTACGTGAACTATTTTTTTTTATCTAATTTCCTTTACATCATTAAGATTTAAACCTTTAATTTTATTTAAAAGATTTAGTGTCTCGTATTAGATCAACTGGTGGTAGGTTTTTGTTTGAATTAATTTTAAGTGACTTGATGATAAATTGACTAAACTTTTATGAGTCTCGACTTGATTTGACTTAGTTGAATTTGAATTGACTTAATCATTTAGTTAATTTGTCAACTAAAATAAACTCGATAGACATATTATTTATGATATTTTTAAATTATTATTTATTTATACGAAATAATGAATGTTACCCTTCTAATAAATAATAGAGTAAATCACACAATTAGTATCTAAATTATTAGTTTTGGTCCATTTTAGTATCTAAACTTTGAGTTTTTTCAAAATCATTCCTAAAGTTTAGTTTTTATTTAATTTTAGTACTTCACCTTTAAAAACTTTACTTTTTGTTTTATTTTAGTACCCATGTTCAAAACTTAACGTTAAATTTTATAAAAATGGAAAGTTTAGGTATAAAAACATATCAAAACTAATAGTTTAGGTACTAAACGAGTTAAGTTTTTAACGGTGTGATACTAAAATGAAATGAAAACTAAACGTTAGACATGATTTTAAAAAAATTGAAACTTTAGATTACTGAAACGGATCAAAATTGATAATTTAGGTATTAAACGTGTAATCCATCCAAAAATAATATTTCAAACAAGACGTAAGCAAACCAAGTTTATTTAACCAATGAATGGTCTAATTAGTTGAACATTTTCAAGCTAAATTCCAAATCCATCTAACCGTATGGAAAAGTTTTAAGAATAAAAGTAATAATATATAATTAAATGGTCCATAAAAGTGAAAAAGGTATACCTATCATTCAAAAATAACATCATCGAAACCCCATTTTATGAAAGGTAGAATGACATTTTTTGGCCTCCAACTTCATCGGTTTAGCCACTTTAGTCTTTAAACTTTTAATACGTTCCATTTGGCCTTTTGATTTCCATTTTTATCAAAAATGATGTAACAATTGCAACATATATTTATGAATGAAAAGAAAAATAAAAGCTTGAGGCCTAGAAAGAACACATAAAGTTTAAATATCAAAATGGTTAAACTAATAAAGTTAAGGGACCAACAAGTAATTCTATCATTATTGAGTTACATTTTATGAATAAAAAACCTTTAATATTAAGAAACAATTAAGTAACAAACAAGTCATACCAATACCATTAACCAACACACTAACATAATTAAACTAAACTCATATCTAAAGAGATTTGCACATGAAACTAAAGCTTTCAAAAACC